ATATGTATATATATATATATGTATGTATGCATGTATGCATGTATATGCTTGTGATGGATGCTTTACCTTGCAGAACTAACTGCTATTGTTATTTCTATTATATATGTGCCAGTTACTGCCTCACGTGTTGGTGGATTTCGGGATATCTTCATAGATGGGTTTGTTCCTCCAGCAACTTCTGTTGCTCCAATGTTCCCTTATTTTGAGAATTCAGCTGAATGGGATGATTATGGCGAAGTTATAAATCCTGATGATTACATAATCAAGGATGAAGATATGAATGGGGCATCAGCTCAAGTAAGTTTTGTTGCTACTCTGAGAGAGCTTGCATGAGCTAGACTTGTCATTTTAAAGAAATATTATTTTACATTCAATCAACTTTCTTGAAAGTATTGATCTTATAATTTACATCCAATCAACTCCAGTATTTACATTCAATCAATTTAGGGAAATATTAATTTATATCCAATGCATTGTGCAGAGATGGAGTGATTTGTTAATATGAGATGGTAGGAAGTGTAGAATATTGAATAGCGGTTAGGACCATGAATATATATTTAGAGGAAATTTTTCGAGTGTGGAAAAGAGCCCCTAGAGTTTCCGTGGTTGTGGCTTTTATAATTTCTGCAAAGAACATTACAGGTTTCAATGAAATGTCATATTAACCATTGCTGCAATTGAGTGCCATCGCAAAAATCAAAGTTTAGGCTTATGATAAATTGGTAGAAGAAAGAAAAGTCAAATGCACTGACGCGAGTATCACCCGGGGAGAGCCATAAGGGGACCGGCCAACCCTTCAGTCTAGGTTAGGTTTGCCCTCTTATCCCTCTTATTTATGTACTACTATGTATATGTTGTTTTATTTTATTAGGGTTAGTTTTTCCTTTAAAGTTTCTGTCAGGACAACCTCCGACGTTCTTTTTTACTTTCCAGAGCTGCATCCCATGGTGAGAGGTCCTCTGGCTGTAACTTGTCTCGAGGTGGTGTACATCCTTTCTTTCATTGCTCACTGCCGTTCTCCCTTGCTGCCACCCCCCTGTTCTCCTCCCTTTATTGTCCCTGCTGCCGCTAGCCCCTTCCCCAAACCTGCTGCCGCCAACCCTTTCAACTACCACATATGCTACCCCCAGTCCCGCCTGCACTAGAACTTGACGCCGCCAACCCCTCCAAGAACCTCTACCTGCTGCCACCAACCCCTCCAAGCACCTCTACTTGCTGCCACATCCCTCTCCTACCCTCTATCCTGTTGCAGCAACTCCCCCACAGCCCTCCAACTACTGCCACAACCTTCCAATTCGAAACCCACCTGCTGTCCAACCGCCATCCACCACCTTCGCCATCGCCCTAGAGTGTCTTTTATGTTTGTGTTGTTTTTCTATTGTGAAGAGTCTTTGTTTGTGACCCTATTGAATTTCAATAATAATATTTATTGTGATTTGGGTCAACTCCATACCTTGCACCTATAAGAGTAGGGGGGTTTGAATTTGGTGTGAAGTTACATTCAAGGATTTTTGTTTTTGAGAATCATTCCGAACTCAAAGGCCTCTCAATCCAATGCAATTCAGTGGAAATAAACATGACACATTAAATTCTAGTAATACATCAATTAGTTCAATGTGCAGATTTAAGAAATAATAAAATTAATGCCCAAATTAGATATACATTAAGTATTCACAATTATAGAGACTTAGGGTCTATTTTGGACTGTTTATTGGTGCAGGCGGCGTTTTGAAAACGTCACCACACCGTTTGGTTCGCGTGTTCGGGTGGCTTGTCCTGAAATGGCGTTTTGGGATCCTTAATAGATGCAGATGCAGGATCGGCTTGCTAGGTAGCTTGTGTTCGATTCGTTTGTTAAAAAAAATGAGCCTAACAAAAATATTTTTTTGTGCTCTATTTATAAACGAGCTAAATACGAACAAAATTTTGTTCGTTCGTGTTTGATTCTTTGTAGCTCGAATTAATTAAATAAAATAGAAATAATATTTAAAAATTAAAATAATGATGAAATCTTTGATACTATATCAAAAATTTGATTTATTTAAATGTAATAAAGAAAATTTTGATCTTAGGTATGTAAATACATATGAATTGGGTGGTATGCATGCAAGTGCCTCTCACATTTTTTTTTTTAATTAAGATGTTAGATATGTAAATGCATTAGAATTGGGTGGTAGGTATGTAAGTGCCCCTCATATTCTTAAAAAAGAAAATTTAAATGTTAGATATGTAAATACATAATTATTTGGTGGTATGTATGTAATTGCCCCTCAAAATTTAAAAAAAGAAATTTTAGATTTTATATATGTAAATACATAAAATGGGGCGGCGTGGATGTGAATGTCCCTAGATTTTTGCAATAAACTCCGCGCGGCCCACCTACTACATTGATGAAAATGTTACATATATAAATACATAAGAATTTGGTAGTATGTATGTAAATGGTCCTAAAATGCTGAATCTGCCCGCCCCAATTTTGCATTAGGTTTAGTCCCACATCGGGACTTCGAGAGTAATGAGAATATCAACCATTATAAATGTAAAAACAAAGCTGAAACTTTAAACTTCACGTCAATTCGGTGAAGTAGATATTATTATATTTTATGTTATTTTGAAAATGTTTTAAAATAAAAAATTTATCATTAAAATTTTAATTCAAGTTAAAGTTTGAGCTGAACAAGAGCTTAATTTGAATAAACAAGCCACGAGCCATTTTGAATGCGCTAAGCACGAACAAACCAAAAATTGAATTAGCCGAACAAGAGCAAACATTGGGATTGCTCAAGCTCGGCTCTTTTACACCCCTGGTATCTATCTATTGCTTAGGAATAGGTGGTGGAACTTCATCGCCACCCTTATCTTGTCGTTTTGTCGTTTGACCTGCTGTTATTGGTTCAAATAGCCATCAATCACGTCAAATCAGCCATCTAGTAGCAGATTTAGCCTCATATACCCTTCCAAACACCATCAGTCGCTTTATCCTCCTCGTACGATTCCCCAACCACCTCCCCACTATGGCCATTCCCAAACACCTTCCAGGAGCCCTAGAACGACATCATTTGGTATTGGAGCTCGAAAAATTCTAATTTTTTAAGGATTTATCTAACCTGTACCTAAACTAAGAATCTATACATTTTAACATAAAATACCCACAAAAAAAAAAAAAAAAAAAAAAAAAAAACCTACATCATTCACCTAACCCTAACCTTAATTTAAAATATTAAACCTCGACCAACCTTTTTATCTGCAACCCTACACCTGCCGAAAACTTGCTTAAGAGAAAATGAAACAATGCCACTAAGGAGAAACCCTCAATGGGGTGTTTATATATACAATGGGAAATTTTTCAACTATAATAGAAGCTTGAGAGGAGACAATCCGATGAGATCACTCATAGCAACAACAGTGACTTGTTAGATCTAGAGGAGGCGAATCCCTTTCACCAGACAATTTTTAGTAATGAAGAACCCATATCCCACCAATTTGGTATAAAATATTGGAGGTGAGTCTAGGATGTTGGATTAAAGATTGGCTTACCATAAAATTGACTTACCATATCATGGATCCATATGATTTCATTGAGTTACTTCAGATAGCGAAATTGTTATTTGAGTATATGGATGTTTCACTTAACAAAAGTGTCGAGTTAGCCACAATTAAGTTAAGTAAGAATGCTTTTTTATGGCGGGTGAACTTGAAATGTCTTCGCCAGCGCGAGCGAAAAAACAAAATCATCATCCGATATATAAGATGAAAATGGAAACACAATACCAATACCTTTCCCCGCACTACTGACATGATATGTTCAGTAAACTCCACCTACGCCAGTTGATTTTTTGGTGGAGTACACAACAAAATTTGATCAGCTTCTACTGAAATATTAGTTGGTGAAATTAGAGGAGCATACAATGGTGAGGTATCTTGGATTATTGAGACACTCTATTAATAATGTGGTGCACCTTCAATCGTCTTGGTCCTTACTTGGTGAACAAACTTTAGTTTTGAAGTTGGAGAAACAGTAACATCACCTGGTGATCCACATATTTTATAGGCAGAATTCAATCCTAGGATTATGCAACAAGAGTGCAGCTAGTGGAGCACCCAAGCTAACCCCGTTAGAGGAGAAGTCAATCCAGAGTGGAGAAAATATGGAGCGCCCCAGCACTCCTAGATCTGTCCCAACCAAGAAGTGTTATAAGTGCCACTGTTTTGGGCACATTACATAAGATTGCCCAAACATGAGAATGATATTTTTATTAAGAAGAGTGCAGTTGAACAAATAAACAACGACATAGGATTGGATGAATATGTTAAAGAGGAGTATCAACTTGCAATCGGCGAGGAAGAGATGCTAATGATTCAATTTGAGCCCATGAGAGAGACTCCAACATAATTAGCATTATTTGTCCTAGAAGATAGTGAGTTCGAAGAATTGATACCCAAAAATGGCCAACGCTTGTTGAGAGAGTTGTCAGATGTTTTGACTGATAATTTACCTCTTAGGTGCTATGATTGAAAGAGATTTAACATGCCATTTGACTCATTCTAGAATTTCTTTTGCCAAACCAACTCGCCTATGAGATGCGACCAGCCGAGTATGATACATTGCATAAGCATGTTTCACGTTTGATGATTAGAGCTCTAGTTTGTGAGAATACTATATAGATGTAGCTTCAATTCTTATTGTGCCAAAGAAAAATAGTTATTTATTTTTTCAAGACTTACTTTGGAATGGTTTATGCGTTTAGAGTTACAGGGTATGAGCACGAGTATAAATTTTGTAGTTGAACTGTCTCAGACACAATAAAGCGATGAGTTTATATGGTGGTGGTTGATTGATTCTAGAATTTTCTAGAGATGATGGTGAAGCATCTCTTACTCGGGGATTGTGACGCGAATGCTTAAGCCATATATGCGTGATTGCAAGTCCATCCACAATCGTGGGAGGATATCTTGTCCGGAGTGGAAATCTAATTTTAATTATAGTGATTTTCTTTACCTTTTCTGATTATTACATATTTCTTTTTCTTTTTTTTTGATTTTGTAATTAGATTATTTTTACTTGGGCATTTTTGTATATGCTTTAGTAGAGTTGTCTAGATTTTTTCAGTTTTTGAGTTTATGAATTGTGAGAGAATTTTCTCTTATTCCTACTCTCTAGATGCTATATCATCTTTCTTTTGCAAGTGGCGTGTCTTTTTCTTGCTCAACAACAGGTTGGTGGATCCTTTTTGCCATCCATATCTCAACATTTGTTGTTCGATCTGCTGTTCTCAGCTAGATAGCTGCCGACAACA